CTTCTGTTAATTACCATCATTTCAGTCACCTGTTACTTGCTAGCATTTAAGCATGTTAATTACGATCAATTTAATCATCCGTTAATGACTATAATTTTAATCATCCGTTAATCACGATCATTTTAATCTGTTATGATCATTTTAATCACTAGTTATTTACGATAATATTAATCACTAGTTATTTACGATAATATTAATCACTTGTTAACTATGATCATTAATCACTTGTTAACTATGATCATTAATCATCTGTAAATTACGATCACTTTAATCACCTGTGAATTACGAATAATTTTAATCGCTTGTTAATTACGGATCAGTTTAATTACCTATTACGATCATTTTTGTGTTAAGACAGTTTTACCCGCACGGCCACGTGGGCATTGTCTGCCTGGGGGACTGTTTTATCCCTGGCTGTGGCTGGCTGGCTGGCTGTGGCTGGCTGGCTGGCTGTGGCTGGCTGGCTGGCTGGCTGTGGCTGGCTGGCTGGCTGTGGCTGGCTGGCTGTGGCTGGCTGGCTGGCTGTGGCTGGCTGGCTGTGGCTGGCTGGCTGGCTGTGGCTGGCTGGCTGGCTGGCTGTGGCTGGCTGGCTGTGGCTGGCTGGCTGTGGCTGGCTGGCTGTGGCTGGCTGGCTGTGGCTGGCTGGCTGTGGCTGGCTGGCTGTGGCTGGCTGTGGCTGGCTGGCTGGCTGGCTGTGGCTGGCTGGCTGTGGCTGGCTGGCTGTGGCTGGCTGGCTGTGACTGGCTGGCTGTGACTGGCTGGCTGTGACTGACTGGCTGGCTGTGACTGGCTGTGGCTGTGACTGGCTGGCTGTGGCTGGTTGGCTGGCTGGCTGGCTGTGGCTGGCTGGCTGTGGCTAACTGGCTGACTGTGGCTGCCTGTGACTGGCAGGCAAGCAAACACTGCAACCAGCCGTATATAACAATCACTATTCAACTTAGAGAAAACATAGAGCTGGCGTAATTAAATTCCATACTGTGATAAGTATCGCATCCTTTTTTCATGTGTACTAATAAGCATTGCATCTCCTTCATAATTACAAACTTTATTCGCGACTTAAACACGTTGTTACAGTAATGATTGGACTAAACACCTCTACAGATGTCTATCTTCTTGAGGTTATCTTGAGATGATTTTGGGGCTTTTCAGTGTCCCCGCGGCCCGGTCCTCGATCAGGCCTCCACCCCCAGGAAGCAGCCCGTGACAGCTGACTAACACCCAGGTACCTATTTTACTGCTAGGTAACAGTCTAGATCAAACACACATCTTTTGCCACAGTATAATAAAAATTTAAATATTCAAGGAGGTTTACCTTGAGGTTATCTTGAAGTGCTTCCGGGGCTTAGCGTCCCCGCGACCCGGTCGTCGACCAGGCCTCCTCGTTGCTGAACTGGTCAACCAGGCTGATACCTGGTTGATGGGGTTCTGGGAGTTCTTCTACTCTTCTACTCTTCTATATATATATATACTCTTCTTCTACTCCTCTAGTTCTTCTACGACCAAACTGACTTGTGAGAGTTTGGTCCACCAGGCTGTTGCTTGGAGCGGCCCGCAGGCCCACATACCCACCACAGCCCGGTTGGTCCGGCACTCCTTGGAGGAATAAATCTAGGCTGTTGGACGCGGCTGCTCTCAGCCTGACTGACGTATGAATCACAGCCTGGTTCATCAGGTATACACAAATAGATTATTTGGGACGAGAGGTTTTAAATAGTGAGTTATGTAGTAAGCGGTTCCAAGTGTGGCGAAGTCACTTGTTGTACGGATGGTCAAGCAGGTGTGTGAGGTCACTTGTACAGATGACGCGGTCAAGCAGGTGTGCGAGGCTTCTGGTATGTCAATTCCTGATTACCAGATACCGGTATGGATCGCCGGTGATCAGTCCCACTATTATTGCTGGCCGTGGCCTTCAAGCATTAGCGCTGACAGATTGACGCGAAAAATGCTCTGCCGTGCATGGCAGAAGAGTCCTAGTCTGAGAGTTATGTTGTTGTTATAAGATTCAGCTACTGGGAACAAAAATGTCCAAGTAGCACGGGCTATGGTGAGCCCGGCACAGGAGCGGGGCAAGTAGCACGGGCTATGGTGAGCCCGTAGTGGACTTACCCACCACAGGAGCGGGGCAAGTAGCACGGGCTATGGTGAGCCTGTAGTGGACTTACCCACCACAGGAGCGGGGCAAGTAGCACGGGCTATGGTGAGCCCGTAGTGGACTTACCCACCACAGGAGCGGGGCAAGTAGCACGGGCTATGGTGAGCCTGTAGTGGACTTACCCACCACAGGAGCGGGGCAAGTAGCACGGGCTATGGTGAGCCCGGCACAGGAGCGGGGCTGTAACTTGGCAGAGTTATGCGTGAGAGACAAGCATCTAGGACACCATGTCTCTAGGGATGCCAGGCCCATAACAGCTGGCCTGCCTACCATCTTCTGAGCGCCCAGTGACCACGCACCTGGCGCGCTAATTGGCCCTGGTGGTCGCTTATTGCTGGACACGCTCACCTTGGTGCCCTAAGGTCGGCCCTAGGGGGGCACCGCCCGCCCTCCACATCCTTAGCAATTAAGGCCGCCTCCATTTGTTTCTCTGCCCTAGAGTATAGCCTATGGCCGGCCAATGGTATAGCCTCCACGCCCACAGTAGTCTCCACGCCCACAGTAGCCTCCACGCCCACAGTAGCCTCCACGCCCACAGTAGCCTCCACGCCCACAGTAGTCTCCACGCCCACAGTAGTCTCCACGCCCACAGCAGGCTCCACGCCCACACCAGCCTCCACGCCCACACCAGCCTCCACGCCCACAGTAGCCTCCACGCCCACACCAGCCTCCACGCCCACACCAGCCTCCGCCTTACTCATACTCTCCAGTACCCATCAATACCTTAAGAGACCTCGGTCATCGGTACTTACATTCCTATTTATAAGGTAATCAATACCCACAAAAAATCACAATAGCATGATACTGTATATCAATTAGAAAATCATTTCGAGCAATCCGCGGACTTGAACCAACGTTCTGGGGACTCCCAGACGCTTGCCTTAATCATATCATGGCCGAGAGGTTCAGACAAACGTCTAGAAGACGCTAGAACGCAGGTTCAAATCCTCATATTGTTCCAAATGATCTCCTTAAGGCAATCAATTTATATGGTATGATGGAAGAGAGGATTACAGTATATTAGGTCCAATGATGACCAGACCACACACTAGAAGGTGAAGGGACGACGACGTTTCGGTTCGTCCTGGACCATTCTCACAATCGTCTTGATAATGGTCCAGGACGGACCGAAACGTCGTCGTCCCTTCACATTCTAGTGTGTGGTCTGGTCAACATACTTTAGCCACGTTATTGTGACTCATCGCCTGCATATTAGGTCCAAATTTCTTCCATTAGCACCCGTATTATCGAGTGTCACTACCTAGGGTACACTTTACCCTCCCCGCCAGAGGTAGTGAGCAAGAAGAGGAGGACCCTATAATTATGTTATGACAAGAGTTGTATAATATGAAGCCGCAAGCTCTCAACCGTACAATATTGTAACTCTTAAAGAGGCTACAAGGATACCCGCCAACACACTGTAAACATCACCTCCACACACATGTTGTTTAAGATTCAGCTTCTAGGAACAAAAAGTTCCAAGTAGCACGGGCTATGGTGAGCCCGTAGTGGACTTACCTGGCACGGGAGCAGGGCTGTAACTGCGTCCTCACACACGTGTATTCTCGTGTTTTTTCCTGCCCTCTAAGTCAAGGGATAAGCACGCGGCGAGGTGTGCCCGCTTCTCTGTGGATTTACACTCACGGGGATCACCTTAGTCCTGCATTTCACGACTAAGGTTTCTCAGTTGTGGCCTTAATATATATATATATATATATATATATATATATATATATATATATAATGCACACTGCCTGTAATGCAGGCAGTGTGTGTGTGTGTGTGTGTGTGTGTGTGTGTGTGTGTGTGTGTGTGTGTGTGTGTGTGTGTGTTAAAAGTCAAAACTAGGCATATATTAGTTTTGTGTCAAAAAATAATGTTTTATTTTCAGAAAGGTGAAATTAATTAAAGGGCTGCCCTTGCTAACTAGGCCTAATTGGAGAAAGGTAGTGAGGGCTTGTGGGTATTAGTCATGGGAGGTGGTGATGGGTACTGGTAGTTAGTGATGTTGAATGGTAGTAACGGCTGGAGGTGGTGGATATGATAAAGACATCAAGACAGATACTTACGTATAGACATGTGTTTTTTTTTCTCTCTCTCTCTCTCTCTCTCTCTCTCTCTCTCTCTCTCTCTCTCTCTCTCTCTCTCTCTCTCTCTCTCTCTCTCTCTCTCTCTCACACACAGACAGACACACACCAGCTGACGCTCAGCAACATAATTAGTGGTAATGATGACATCAAAAGTTCTCTCGTGGATAATTACAGAGCTCTGCACGCCTCTGCTCCCCACCCCGTGCCTCGCCCCCTCTCATCTACATCTTTATCACACTGTCTTTCACCACGTCAACCACCTATCTGCCTCTCCCCACACCCCCATCAACCCCCCCCCCCTCAACCACCCTCCTGCCAGCCTGTACTCCTCGTCGGCTATCCTCCTCTATGTCAGTACGTCCACGTCAACCACCAGCCTACCCGGTTATAGATTTGGGCTTGCTGGATTGTTTCAAGCGTAAGGATAGACATGTACGTACTTCAATTTGGGTGGATATAATTAAGAGCTGTCTCGTATGGGACAATAGGCCTTCTGCTCTTTCTTTAATCCTTGCGTTCTCCTATTTTTTTTTTTTTTTGCAATTCCTCCCTCCGCCCGTCGCTTTAATGATTATTTTGCTGATGTGGAAATTACAAACAGCGCTTCACTGAGATTTGAACAATCATCAATTCATCGCGGACGCTCATCAAAGTCATCATTATCTATGAATACGACAAAGGCGAGCTTCGATAACCATTATTTCGTCTGGCGCACTCCGGACTCTCGATAGCATGCTTGGACCCCGTCTGAAGCAACTACCCCACTCTCTCTCACACTCACACCACATCTCTCACACTCGCACCACATCTCTCACACTCACGCCACATCTCTCACTCTCACGCCTCTCACACTCACGCCACGCATCTCTCACTCACACCTCTCACCTCTCACACTCACACCACATCTCTCACTCCTCTCTATTGATCTCCATATTCTCTTCTTTATCTCTTCTTATTATTATCCTTGGTATCACTATGACTATCTTTTAAGTGGATTGGATTCGCTGGCTTCCTTAGATACAGCAAACTCCTTAAAGACTATTTTTTAATAAGAGATCTGGTTAGACAGAGTTTACCTTGAGGTGGTTCATAGGATCAATGTCCCCTACGGTCCGGTCTTTGACCGCACCTCCTGGCTGGAGGTTTGGTCAACCAGGTTGTTAGTAGTGAAACTGGCGACTACGACCGACCCCTAGATCGCCTGAGACGGATGACTGACGGATGAAGGTGAGCTCGGCGTGAAATATCAAGCGCGGGGGGTGTCTGTGCCTGCCTGTGTATTCACCTACTTGTGCTTGTGGGGGTTAAGCTCTGCTCTTTGCCCCAGACTCTCAACTGTCAATCACTCGACAGTTGCTACTAATTCCTCCCTCCCCGCATCTTGAAAAGTATCGTCATTGGTATAGCATCTCTAGTTTTAAAAGTTCTTGTTATCTTGCTGTGTCGTGCACTACTAAAATGCTACCAGTAGTTGAAGGTTCTCCTGCAACACGTCGCCTCCTTGAAATCTCTTAGCGAGAGGAGGAAGAAAGACCCAGACCCCAAATCCCCCCCCCCCCCACACTACACACACCGAAATAGAGATGCAGTGATCAGCTAAGCTGTTTCTCACAGCCCACAGCTCGTTGGAGACCACCAACAAGATCTTACCAAAGACAATCATCACGTCACACCTATACTTACCACCGCTAGTTTTTTTCCGAACTAGAACTCCAAAGTAACTACGTGGCAGCCATTTACTGAGGCATTAGACTTGGTGGACTTACGGGAGCCAAGTTACCGGCGGGATGAGCGGGTGTTGGGGCCAGACTTGACCCGTACTAAACTTTACTGGAGTATTTATCGTGGCTACAAGCCGAGAAACACCCCAGTTTCGCAATCCGAAAATCCGCGATTATCGGTCGCCATTCTTGGACGGTTGGGTGTTGGCCAGGCCCTCGTGTTGGGGACTGCTGCTGCTGCTGCTGCAACCCCTACTACCACTCCTGCTACCATCACCACGACCCCTACCACCTCCAACCCTACTGCTACAACCCACTGTATAAGTCATCTTAATTATTGGGACCGATTAAAAGTTCTAAATTTGTATTCTCTAGTGCGCAGGCGGGAGAGATACATAATCATTTACACGTGGAAAATAGTAGAGGGGCTGGTCCCAAACCTGCACACAGAAATAACATCACATGAGACCAGAAGGCATGGCAGGATGTGCAGAATACCCCCGTGAAGAGCAGAGGTGCAACAGGTACTCTGAGAGAGAACTATCAACATCAGAGGCCCGAGACTGTTCAACACGCTTCCACTACACATAAGGGCATAACTGGCCGACCCCTCACAGTGTTCAAGAGAGAACTGGACAAGAACAAGCAATTAGAGCAGTGTCTTAGCGGCCCCCCCCCCACCTCACCCTCCCATAACCTGCCACATCTTTTCAAGATTCTCCCCCACTCACACCCCCCTGGGGCGTTACTACCCGTTACACCCACTCCTCTCCCCCCTCCCCCCCCCCCACCCACACCCACACCCCCCCCCCCTCCCCATTCACTCAGTCACACCCACTTTGCCCTCATCAGCCACACGTCGCTCACCCACTACATATAATCACAAAGAATAACACAAAACATAATTTCGACACATTCACCTCCCACTCGCTTTACGGCGAGTGTAGTACACACACTGGGTGAGTGACAGGCAGACACGGCTCCGACACCGACACGGAGGCTGTGTCAGGCGGGACAAGACAACCAGGAGGAACACACACGGGGCAGACCAGGGAAACTTAAGAAGACAAGGGAGAGAGAGAGAGAGAGAGGAGGAGAGAGAGAGAGAGTAGAAGAGAGAGAGAGAGAGAGAGAGAGCAGAGAGAGAGAGAGCGAGAGAGCGAGAGAGAGAGCGAGAGCGAGAGAGAGAGCGAGAGCGAGAGAGAGAGAGAGAGCGCGAGAGAGAGAGAGAAAAGAGAGAGAGAAAAGAGAGAGAGAAAAGAGAGAGAGAAAAGAGAGAGAGAAAAGAGAGAGAGAGAGAAAAAAGAGAGAGAGAGAGAAAAGAGAGAGAGAAAAGAGAGAGAAAGAGAGAGAGAAAAGAGAGAGAGAAAAGAGAGAGAGAAAAAGAAAAGGAAAAGAGAGAGAAAAGAGAGAGAGAAAAGAGAGAGAGAAAAAGAGAGAGAGAAAAGAGAGAGAGAAAAGAGAGAGAAAAGAGAGAGAGAAAAGAGAGAGAGAAAAGAGAGAGAGAAAAGAGAGAGAGAAAAGAGAGAGAGAAAAGAGAGAGAGAAAAGAGAGAGAGAAAAGAGAGAGAGAAAAGAGAGAGAGAGAAAGAGAGAGAGAGAGAAAAAGAGAGAGAGAAAAGAGAGAGAAAAGAGAGAGAGAAAAGAGAGAGAGAAAAGAGAGAGAGAGAGAAAAGAGAGAGAAGAGAGAGAGAGAAAAGAGAGAGAAAAGAGAGAGAGAAAAGAGAGAAAAGAGAGAGAGAAAAGAGAGAGAGAAAAGAGAGAGAGAAAGAGAGAGAAAAGAGAGAGAGAAAAGAGAGAGAGAAAAAAGAGAGAAAAGAGAGAGGAAGAAAAGAGAGAAAGAGAGAGAAAAAAGAGAGAAAAGAGAGAGAGAGAAAAAGATAGAGAGGGAGAAGAGAAAGAGAAAAGAGAGAGAAAAAGAGAGAAAAGAGAGAGAGAAAAAAGAGAGAGAAAAAGAGAGAGAGAAAAGAGGAGAGAGAAAAGAGAGAGAGAAAAGAGAGAGAGAAAAGAGAGAGAGACAAGAGAGAGAGACAAGAGAGAGACAGGAGACAGGAGACAAAACGAGGGAAACAGGCAGAAGGGCCAGGAATGAGAGGTGCTACAATAATAGAGTGAGAGGGAGTGAAGAAGGCGGGTGGATAGACATACCAAGGAGAGGAAGAGAGAAGAGAAGAGAATGATAGGCAGAGCTGGGGGGGGGGACACCAGCAGGGAGGTAGCTGCATCAACCTGTGGACATCAACTAACTGACTGACTGACTGACTAACTAGTCAATAACAATGAGGTCCCTGGCCTCGAATGAACACAATAGCGAACTAGCCAGAGCTCGAATCTGCTCTTAAACAAGGAATCAAACCGGAGGAACAAGGCTCTGTGGTCCTAGAAGACCATACGGTTATTCTCCAGGAAGGAAGGAAGTAAAGTAAGTAAGTAAAGCAATCCCCTCCCCCCCCCCGCTACCTCTCCTCTATCTCCATACGGAACTGAGGTAATCCCCCCAAGTAACCTCCCTCCCCCCAGACGGAACTGAGGTAATCCTCCCCAAGTAACCTCCCTCCCCCAACACGGAACTGAGGTAATCCCCCAAGTAACCTCCCTCCCCCAACACGGAACTGAGGTAATCCCCCCAAGTAACCTCCCTCCCCCCAGACGGAACTGAGGTAATCCCCCAAGTAACCTCCCTCCCCCCAGACGGAACTGAGGTAATCCCAACACGGAATTAACTCACCCTGTCTCATTTGACTCGGCATCTGCCTTAAGCCCCGAAACAAATTGCATTTCTTTGTTTCTATATAGCTTGAAATGACCGACCGACCGACTGACTGTGCTAGCCGACCGGCCGACCGACCGACCGACCGACAGGACGAATGAATGAATGACTCACCTGACACCTCTATTTCTAATTTATCTTTTCTCAATCTTTATTTGATTTCGTAAGTCGCTTTTCACCTCCCCTCTGATCGGCGACCGTCCTCCCCTCCCCCTTGCATACCCTATGGATACGTAGCCTAGATACCTCGCTATCTTTCCCCTTGGATATCTCACCCCCCCCCCTCATTTCCCCTTGGATATCTCACCCCCCATTTTCTTCAGGGGCTACCTCACCCCTCCCTACCCATTTCCCATCCCCTAGTCCACCCCATTCAGGTACAATTCAGGTATATTTCGTCGGAATCAATTTCCTCTATCAATCCAGATTTGTTTCTCTTATCTTTTCCCCTCTCCACCTCTTCCTTTTGCCCGATCCTTCCTTGCTTCTTATCCTCCCTCCCACCCCTCGTCCCCTAAGCCATAACTTGGCAGACAGAATCTGTGGAGTAGCAATGAGGGAGATTACCGTGCGGGTGATTAAAAGCAATTAGCAGGAGACATGGCCCACCGCTCACCGTCTGGACAGGTGACCGCGATCAGGCCCGTCTTCTGTCGCACCCTCTGGTGTTCTACTTGCCCCAATAACAGCCCTCAGACGACCTGTCGCACCCTGCTTGACCTGTCGCACCCTACTTGCCCCAATAACAGCCCTCCGACGACCTGTCGCACCCTGCTTGACCTGTCGCACCCTACTTGCCCCAATAACTGCCCTCCGACGACCTGTCGCACCCTGCTTGACCTGTCGCACCCTACTTGCCCCAATAACAGCCCTCCGACGACCTGTCGCACCCTGCTTGACCTGTCGCACCCTACTTGCCCCAATAACAGCCCTCCGACGACCTGCCGCACCCTGCTTGACCTGTCGCACCCTACTTGCCCCAATAACTGCCCTCCGACGACCTGTCGCACCCTACTTGCCCCAATAACAGCCCTCCGACGACCTGTCGCACCCTACTTGCCCCAATAACAGCCCTCCGACGACCTGTCGCACCCTACTTGCCCCAATAACTGCCCTCCGACGACCTGTCGCACCCTACTTGCCCCAATAACAGCCCTCCGACGACCTGTCGCACCCTACTTGCCCCATTAACAGCCCTTCGACGACCTGTTGCACCCTGCTTGACCTGTCGCACCCTACTTGCCCCAATAACAGCCCTCCGACGACCTGTCGTACCCTGCTTGACCTTGTCTTCCCTTCCATAATGCTCGTCGTACTTTCCCATGCTAAATCCTGTGTAGACGATTAGTCACAGTAACTAAATCCCACGTCGGCTGCTCCCACTCCATCATGTTCCCCACACACCTGTTCCACACCTGTTCCTCTCAGCTTCCGGGAGAGGCTCTCAATCGCACGAAATACCGATTAATTCTCATCTTGGGACAATGGGGAGGAGTTACCTTGCGGTTATCTTACGTTGATAGCGGGTGCCAAGGTCCTGCGTAAACAAGTCCACACGCGCAATACGGATGTAGTGAAGATATCTAACTATTCCTCACGTAAAGTTTTATCTGGAAACTTATTTGTGAAAGTGCCGACGTGTCGGTCCGTCCTGGAGCATATGACGTGTCGGTCCATCCTGGAGCATATGTTGAGACGTGTCGGTCCATCTTGGAGCATATGTTGAGACGTGTCGGTCCATCCTGGAGCATATGTTGAGACGTGTCGGTCCATCCTGGAGCATATGTTGAGACGTGTCGGTCCATCCTGGAGCATATGTTGAGACGTGTCGGTCCATCTTGGAGCATATGTTGAGACGTGTCGGTCCATCCTGGAGCATATGACGTGTCGGTCCATCCTGGAGCATATGACGTGTCGGTCCATCCTGGAGCATATGTTGAGACGTGTCGGTCCATCCTGGAGCATATGTTGAGACGTGTCGGTCCATCCTGGAGCATATGTTGAGACGTGTCGGTCCATCCTGGAGCATATGTTGAGACGTGTCGGTCCATCCTGGAGCATATGACGTGTCGGTCCATCCTGGAGCATATGACGTGTCGGTCCATCCTGGAGCATATGTTGAGACGTGTCGGTCCATCCTGGAGCATATGTTGAGACGTGTCGGTCCATCCTGGAGCATATGACGTGTCGGTCCATCCTGGAGCATATGTTGAGACGTGTCGGTCCATCCTGGAGCATATGTTGAGACGTGTCGGTCCATCCTGGAGCATATGTTGAGACGTGTCGGTCCATCCTGGAGCATATGTTGAGACGTGTCGGTCCATCCTGGAGCATATGTTGAGACGTGTCGGTCCATCCTGGAGCATATGACTTGTCGGTCCGTCCTGGAGCATATGTTAACACGTGTCGGTCCGTCTTTGAGCCGCATCAACTCGTGACGCTATTATTGTAAATGTGAGAGTTGGGTTATTGTCTTCTGGTCTGTTACTGTGCCTTAATCTGTTTATCTTCTCTAACTTCATATCATCAACTGGTACTGTATGATTTCCTTCCCCTCTTATCTTTCATCCTTCGATCCTTCCTCGTCTTCATATCTTAGTCTTTCCTTTGTCTTAATGTTTAGGTCTTCCAAGGGGGTGAGTAATAGGTCTTCCAGGGGGTGAGTATAGGTCTTCCAAGGGGTGAGTAAGCTGGGTCTAAGGTCTCTGTGCGTTAGTACTCTACGGTATGTTGCACCCACGTTAAGCCCACACACCTCCCACGCTTCCCCCTACATACGTCCTCTCCCACACCCACGCATCCCAGACCATCCCCCCCCTCCTCCCACGCTCCCCAACCGTGCCTATTACGTCAAACAAACCAATCTAAATTTGCCAACAGTTCCGTCAGAATAGTCCCAAACACATACCCCCTCCCTCCACCCCCCCCCCACACCCTCCCCCACACCCACACACCCTCCCTCCACCCCCCCACACCCTCCCCCACACCCACACACCCTCCCCCACAGTCTAAGACCCTCCACGGAGCCGTCCCGATAATATTTGCCGCAAATTGAACTGATCCTGGAGCCCACTCAGGCGGGGCCCCCACTAATCGCGAGCACGTAATGTAATTTTACACTTGGGAACGACTCTGGCAGCCATGACGTCACTCTGTCTGTCTGTCTGTCTCCCTCTAGGATCTTTCTGTCTACCGCCGCCGGCCTCCACGACCTTCCTGCATCTGGACTGTACGTGGATGGGGTTCTGGGAGTTCTTCTACTCCCCAAGCACAAGCCTCGACTTGTGAGAGCTTGGTCCAACAGGCCGTTGCTTGGGGCGGCTCGCAGGTCCACATATCCACAACGGCCCGGTTGCTCCGGCACTTCTTGCAGAAAACGTTATGTTCCGGCAATATTTCTTATACTTGCTGGATGTTGAACAAAGCGTGGACGTTCATACAATGTTGCCATCACCAGAATCACTGGATTTCTAAGTCGCTGCAATTGTCAGCCGGTAGATGTACCAACAGGGTCCGGGAGCTGAAGCTCACCCGCTGCAAACTGTGTTAGGCAAAACCACATCTTCACAAGCAACTGCCCTTTGGTGTCAACGATGGTGTTCCCTCTCCATACTGCTTTATCACACAACACCCTCAACCCACACACCCACATACCAACACACAAAAAAAGTAGTTAGTAAACAGTTGATTGACAGTTGAGAGGCGGGCCGAAAGAGCAAAGCTCAACCCCCGCAAACACAACTAGGTGAATACTCACTCACCGACACACCTACCCACACACACTCACACCCACCCACACACACACACACACCCACCCACCACACACACACACACACACACACCCACCCACCTACCCACACACACTCACACCCACCCACCTACCCACACACACACACACCCACCCACCTACCCACACACACAAACACCCACCCACCCATCCACACCTACCTACCCACACACTCACCCACCAACACCCACACCCACCTACCCACAACATAATATCCCACACACAGGACTCTCAATATAGGTAAGAGTCTTTCCAGGAAGCTGCTCCTTCACATCTCACCATCTTGGTCTTCACACTGTTCCCTTCTCCGTCTGCGGCCATTGTGTATCATCACAAAATATACCAAGGTAGTGCAGCCAGCAGCTGCGTCAAACAGCCTGGTTGACCAGGCTGAGACTGGGCCGCGGGGGGCGTTGATCCCCGAAAGCATCGCAAGGTAAGGTAACCAAGGTAAGGTGCCGTAACAGTCCGGTGCCATAAGTTCCTTAAGGCACGTCAATTTGAACGCTATAGACCAAGGTTGAAACTGAGGTGGCACGGAAGTTCGAGTCTCTCTCAGTACCACCTACTTTAATACGAGGTACTGACAAAACTACTTCAAATTAGACGCTTGTTAAAGCGGGCGAATGGCTTGTCTCCAGGTGGTTACCTTGAGGTTACCTTGAGGTTACCCTGAGGTGCTTCCGGGGCTTAGCGTCCCCGTGGCCCGGTCGTCGACCAGGCCTCCTGGTTGCTGGACTGATCAACCAGGCTGTTGGACGCGGCTGCTCGCAGCCTGACGTATGAACAGTGGTTTGGCAACTGTATACACAGCCAAGACCAAACAAGCCCAGCAAGAACAAAAGAATGGAAGAGCAAACAGGTGAGGACCCAACTACATCTAGACCAAACAGTTGTGCCGGACCAACCGGGCTGTGGTGGGTCTGCGGGCCGCTCCAAGCAACAGCCTGGTGGACATGTCGAGCCTCTTACATGTCGAGCCTGGCCTCGGACAGGGCTGTGGTGGGTATGTGGGCCACTCCAAGCAACAGCCTGTTGGACCAAACTCTCACAAGTCAAGCCTGGCCTCGGGCCGAGATTGGGGAGTAGAAGAACTCCCAGAACCCCATCAACCAGGTCCAAACAAACAAAAAACAGAAAGGGGGGAGGAGGGGGGCTATTAACAGGTGTGGACCCAATACATCTAGACCAAACAGGAGTCGCAACAAACAGAAGCCCAGCACAAACACAACAAGGACAGACAAACAGGTGTGGACCCAATACATATAGACCAAACAGGAGTCGCAACAAACAGAAGCCCAGCACAAACACAACAAGGACAGACAAACAGGTGTGGACCCAATACATCTCCCCGGCCAGGTACGCCACTATTTTTTACGGCAGACGCCCTCGTCTCCTCTGTTTGGTTGACAATTATATTTTATGATCTCGCTGTCGACTCGAGGAAAACACACCTTCCTAATTTGTCGGTCGTGTCCTCCTGCTGCAATTTGTCGTGTGTGTTGCTGTCGTTATGACCCGCTGGTTGGGGGAGAGCTTTTGTTGTTGGTGAGCCGCTCCACACACACACTCACACTCCTTACACCTCCCACTGCTGTGGCCTCTGGCTACTGGCACTGACTGAGGGAGCTGGGACTGACTGTGGCTACTGTGACTGTCTGAGGGGTTGACTGTGGGTCCTGGGACTGACTCTGGCTACTGTGACTGTCTGAGGGGACTGACTGTGGCTACTGTGACTGTCTGAGGGGTTGACTGTGGGTCCTCGGACTGACTCTGGCTACTGTGACTGTCTGAGGGGTTGACTGTGGGTCCTGGGACTGACTCTGGCTACTGTGACTGTCTGAGGGGACTGACTGTGGCTACTGTGACTGAGGGGACTGGGACTGACTGTGGCTACTGTGACTGTCTGAGGGGACTGGGACTGACTGTGGCTATTGTGACTGTCTGAGGGGACTGACTGTGGCTACTGTGACTGTCTGAGGGGACTGACTGTGGCTACTGTGACTGTCTGAGGGGACTGACTGTGGCTACTGAGACTGTCTGAGGGGACTGACTGTGGCTACTGTGACTGTCTGAGGGGACTGGGACTGACTGTGGCTACTGTGACTGTCTGAGGGGACTGACTGTGGCTACTGTGACTGTCTGAGGGGACTGACTGTGGCTACTGTGACTGAGGGGACTGACTGTGGCTACTGAGACTGTCTGAGGGGACTGACTGTGGCTACTGAGACTGTCTGAGGGGACTGACTGTGGCTACTGAGACTGTCTGAGGGGACTGACT